TTATGCAAATTGTTGGGATAATTTCATAGTCAAGCATACCTGGAGTACTTGTTAATGTTTATATTGTCATTACTATTATTCTCATTTGTATGATATTAAAATTAACAATGCACACTCAGATTCACTAATCGGGGAATTAAATTGTTGCATATCCAGTAGTAAGCCTTGTTGATAAATTGAGAATGCAATTGATAGACAAAACAATGCAAAACACCTAGCCAATCACACCAGAGACTAGTTGATCAGGTGATCAACCAATACATGTTAGTTGACTAGATGTTGAACTAAATCTATGATTTCTATGGTTAGAGGGGTTTGGGTTGGGCTAGTATGGGGAGGGTGTGGTTCGGATTTGGTATGTGTTGAGTTTGGCTTGAGTAGTTCAGCAGGTTCATGTTAGTACTATTGATGCAGACTAAAAGAAGCACAAGGAAGAGTAGATTCAAATAAAAAAAAAAAAAAAAAAAAAAAAACCAATAGGAACCATTCATAACATGTTTGTAGCATTATTAGAGTCATACTTTATTAATTTATATTTTCTAAGATTTTTAAGTCAAGGACATGGGTTGTAGGGGTTGCCCATGGGTCGGTCTTATGGATCATGTTATTTAACTGGGTTTTATTTATGTTTTTTATTTGGTGTTAAATTGGTTGTGGAAGGCAAAAATATTGTAGTAGTTTCTTTTTTTGGTTCTAGATGGTTTAGGAATTCTATATAAAGCCATGTAATGCATATAATTCAATACAGTTAATATTTTAGAGAATTTTAAGAGCTTTTGAAGCTTCTTTATGAATTGTGTGATGCAATTAAACCGAAGGTGTGATGGATTGTGTGATACAATCAACACAAGGTGTGATGCCTAAAGAATTCTCTGAGTAATTCCTAGATCTATCTTTTTCTTTATTTCTTCAATTCCTGAAGCCTGTTCACAACATTCTAAAACAGTCCTAAACAGTGTCAAATCAGCCCCAAAAGCCCGCTGTTGTGGCTGTCCCTAATCGTCCTACATCAGTTTGCTTTGATACCAAACTGATGTAGGACAATGCTGGATTTTGAAAATAGAGAGGGTTTAAAGGGTGAAATTGAATAGGTAGGGGAAGGGATTAGAGTTGATTTGGGGGTGATTGGATGGGGTTTTGAGTTTGAAAAGTGCACTTTTAGAGGGCTATGAATAGTAATCAGAGAATAGTAAATTGAAATAGAAAAGAAAAAGAAAGAAGAAATAAATCTAGGAATCACTCCTAGAATTTCTTAAGCATCATTCTCTAAAAATATTAACGGTATAGAATTATAAGCATTACATAGGTTTACATAGAATTAGGAGATTTCCTAAACCAACTAAAACCAAAAGAGAAAACTATTACAATATCTGACTTTCAAAACCAATTTAAGACCAAATAAGAAACATAAATACAACCCCATTATATAACTTGATCCACAAGACGATCCATAGGTGACCCCTATAGCCTATGTAGGCAAATATGAAAATTACCAAATTACCCTTGACTTAAAAATCTTAGAAAATATAAACTACTAATAAAATAAGACTCTAATAATGGCATAAACATGTTATGAATGGTTCCTATCGATTTTTTCTTTGAAATTATGCTAATTTCGAAATATCACAACGTTTTTGAATTTACTCTTTCTTGAGTTTCTTATATTCTGCATGAACTTAAGCTAGTGGGTTGGGTCAAGGGTTATACAAGGTTTCGGTAAACGATTGCGGTCACGGGGTATAAAGGCCGTAGTGTAACGATTGCGGTAATCAGAATCGTAAATTTTTTAATTTTCGCACAATTTGAAAAAATACTTACCAAGATGCATATTTTTTTTTCTTTGAAAATCACATTTTTTAGGGTTTAAAATAGATTTTGATCAATTTTTGTTAATTTTTAAGTATGATCCAATATATTTCACAAATTTTTAAATCACTATAAAATGAACTTTTTACATTTTGTTTCAATAGTTAATGACTTTAAGAATGATTAGTTTTAAATGTCTATAAAATTATTTTTGACCAATACCTGAACTAACTAAATAAAAAATATTTACAATTATTAAAAAAAAAAATTGTAAACAAAAATTAATTTTGAGCTAATGATTTTTTTTAAAAGACATTTTTAGATAATACTTTACAACTAACTAAAAAAAATTATTTACAATTAAGTATTAAATGAAATGATTATAAAAATCAGTGAATTTTTTTTAAAGACATTTTTTAGACAACACATTATAGTAACAAAATAAAAATATTTACAATTAAATATTAAATTAAATTATTATAAAAATAAATACAATCACTGTTTATATATTTTTCATTTTACATGCTAATGTAATGAAATAAAAATTAAAAAATAAATTATAAAGAAAAAAAAATCTATACAAAGTTTTTTCTTTGGGCTTAGATCACTTGAGCATTTGTTCTTCTTTCGTAAGATTTTTTTTATTTATTTTTTCGTAAGGTTTTTTCAAGGAAGCTATTTAGAATATAGTAATGGTGTGTAACGGGCTGTTAAAACCATTACGGTACCACTACGGCCGTTACGTAACACCGAAATGGCTATTACACATGTGAATTTCTATTACACTGTAAAAGAGGGTTTAACGGGTAGCGTTTACCACTGCAACCATTATGTAACACAACGTTTTGAAACCTTGGTTAAATACAAGCCCTTGTATTAGATCTTTGCTTCTTCATGCCACAGTTTGAGACTCTTGAGTGCAACCCTTGGCAACCACAGTCAGTAATAATGGTAGCTAATTACACTGTGGCGACGGTAGCTGGCTAACGATGGCTGGTTATTATCAATGAAACCTAACGAAAACACAATGAGACACTGGCGAGGGTGGCAATTACACCAATCTACCAGACAAGAACACGTATGTGGCTTTTGATAACAAGGCTTGCAATTAATGGTGACAAGTTTCAAATAAGGGTACAATAAGCTAGGCTTTGTTGGGAAAAAGTTCATCACAATCAACGTTGGCAACTCTTGAGTGACTATTGTCGGTAAGCGTGATCATGACAAGCAATGGCTAGAATTCAATTGTAGCAAAGATGGTGAACTCCAATACTTTATGGGTCAAGAGCTTTGATTCTCAACCAACTAGGCCTAGCCTAGTTGGCCACCATGACCCTCCTAAGGGTCTAGTCCCAAGAGGAAGGTCATGGGTTTAACTCTCCTTAAGGGGGAGTTGAATTAGGAGGGGCAAGCACTTGGTGCTCTGCAAGGGTGGTGCTTTGATAAATGAACCGAACAAGTCGAATAGTTAGCTGTTCAAGCTTGGTTTGATAACTTTAACAAGTTTCAAAATTTGTTCAAGCTTGGTTTGTTAAACTTTCAAGTCGATCTCAAACAAGCTTTTTATCGAGCCAAGCTCGAGTAATTTGATATTTTTTTTATAATTGTAGGCTTATTGAATTGAGTCGAAAATGCAATTGACTATTCAAGTTTGGTTTGAAAACCTAAAGGAGCTCTAAAATGGGTTCAAACTTGGCTTGTTTATTTAACGAACTGAGCTCGAATGAGCTTTTAACAAGTCGAACACGAGTTGAGCTCGAGCTGTTTGGTTCGTTTGTCACCCCTAAGGGTGGGGAGACTAACTCCCATAGATGTTAATCTAATAACTAACAACTAACTTTCGCAGATCAAAAAAAAGAAGAGCTTTGATTCTCTCCAACAAGGTTAGCATAGAGCTGCAAACGAATTGAGCTCTAGTTGGTCATGGACATCTCAATACGTTTTTCGCTCTAAGTATTTATTGAGCTAGGCTCTGATACCAAGAGTGACATATCAGAGTGAAGGAAAGAACAAGCAACAGGAAACAAATGCCAGATAAAAAGCAAAGAAGGGGAAGAAAGAGATAGAAGAGAAGGTAAGGAAAAAGAAAGAAAGAAAAAGGAAAGAGTCTGTTGAAAGATAGAAAACAGAGGTGTACCAAGAAATAACTTCTTTTTTTTTAATTATACCAACAGTCTCTGATAATCTCATCATACAACCAACCCTACATTCATAAGTTATCCTAATAAAAGTAATATTCCTAATATGAATAAATTTAAGAAAAACTAATCTTAAGAAAACTCTAATAAACAAAATCCTACATTCAACCCTAATAAACAAAATCCTAACTTCTTTTTTTTTTAATTATGCCAACAGTCTCTGATAATCTCATCATACAACCAACCCCACATTCATAAGTTATCCTAATAAAAGTAATAATCCTAATATGAATAAATTTAAGAAAAACTAATCTTAAGAAAACTCTAATAAACAAAATCCTAAGTAAATTCAAACTCCTAAAAAGTAAGCTTTCAATCACAATCTCCATTAATCGGGTTATGCTCATGATGCGTGTTGGCCATGTATCCAATTTATAGAATCTATTCTTAAAATATGAGCATGTCTATAAAATATATAAAGTGTAAGACATGTCTACAACTACACAAAGAGTGCCAATGAGATGAGTGTCCAATATAAAAATGACTATTCTATACTGTGCTACTTGGTTGATAGATACTGTGAGCACACTATTCAATGGTTTATCCAAGTTCTAATTGGACTCATTGATCTAGTTTTGTTACCAAATACATCTTTTGTGGTTGAAAAAATTTGCATTTGTAATAATCAAGCACGAGAAGTTCAAGATAAACAAGAAGTACAATCTATAACTATAATAGACAGAAACAAAGAAAGCATGAACCAAAACTTGTCTTGGTCTGATAGATAGATGAAAAGGCAATATGGAGACTGGTCATAAAACTTCTACTAGTTGATTAACCAAGCCTTAAAATGATCTTGTATATTTATAGATATTCTTTAAAACTTAGCAAAACATTTTGTTAAAAATACCTACTTGCAACAAATATAGTAATGATAATGATGATAAAATAAAAGAAGGCATCATCTTATACCTCGATAAGAACATAGCTTGCCCTACAAAGGACACGAAAACAGGAGTACAGTTTCATAAAAAGACAAGACTATTGTTTTTTTACCTCCAAATCTTTCTTACGCAATTCCTCCTTCTTAGCTTCTGATCTAGCACTTCTTTGCACCTCCAAGATAAGAGCAACTCCTGCAACCTATATATACATTCAGGCCTATAATTAGTGGTTGATAATCTATCATAAGGTTGGTTTTAGATGTCAAGCTGACAAAAATAAAAATGTGCGAAGCCATAGCAGACTAGATTCTCCTGTCAAATAAGCACCATTGCTGGATGAACAATAATTGCTCAGAATTACAGCAATCATCAACCAGTAAGTGATCAATAGTACGTCGTGGCACAATACAAATGATGGGATCCAATTAGTTAACCCCGATAGCAAAGGATATTTTGAAACCACTCCTGATGTCACTCCTTTTAGTGCTAATTACTTAAATCGATTTCTATTTTACAAGTTGGTGCTGAGTTTCAAGGACTTTCAAGTTGCTCCTTGCCTAAAGACCTCCTTCCGACGAAAATTTACTGGTAATAAATTGCTCTAGAATCTCCTAACAAGGGAAATACTTCATAGAGACCTAAGTGGAAGGACTGGAACCTTAGTAGTTACCACCACTCTTCACTTTTGGGAACAAAGTGCATGACTGCACAGTAATGCAATACATTACACAAATAATTGGTGACCAGCACGTCACTGCAACAATTGTCGGAAAATCTGCTGCCCAGCCTGCACACAGGATTTTTGAACTGTATAGTCTCTGCAGTACTCACTCCCAATGCCAAAAGAAAGGCAAATAGATTGCACATTAAGAAGAAGAACATCCCATCCCACAAACCATTATTGGTCTTCTCAGGCATATGAACAAACTCACAACCCAGTATTATAGAAAAATTCGGCCAAGGGATCAAGGATTCAGGATGCAATGGAAAAACTTTAGAAATACTCAGACCAATATTCAAGAATGACTTAAAAAGTGGACAAGCCAATAAATGTTCAAGTATACAATCAATATATGACAAAATAAGGAGTAATAAATAACTATGAGAATAATTAGGACTTAGTGCAGAATATTTGAAAAAAACACATGTGAACAATCAAATTATACGAATCACACTGGGGTTAGGAATTGACGAACAAATCACATATAGTTTGGGAATTTGCAACTTATCACGAGTTTTGTGACCATGTTTTCAAAATCATTGAGCTATAACTCATTCCGATGTGTGTGTGCTGCAGCTGGATGACAGATAGAGAGCACAGGGTTTTTCACTCTCAAATCACACAAGAATGTTTGTCCACATGCATGATTTTCCTATTATTAGTTATCTTTAATCTTCTTGAGAATATATTATTGAAAATGACTTAAGAAGCTTTGGAAAATATTCAAAAAGAAAAAAAGAAGTAACTTGTAAATAAAGATTACCGAGAAGACGAAGAATTCCCCAAGAAGGTCCACAGCAGCTTGAACAGCTTTCTCCTCATTTAGGGGGCGGATCTCAACATCAGTTGCGTGGCTATAGATGCGCCTTTGCATTCTTGTGGTGAGCCGATGGTTTGCCTGGTACCAACACCCAGTGTAAAGACAAACACATCCTTAAAATCCTTCAATTACACATTCAAAGACAGAACTACATTACCAGAGAAGCCAGAACCTAAACTAAAAGTTACTCCTATTTAGGATTTGTGCCTCAGAACAATTACAGAAACTAAATAACTCATTAATTAAAACCAACATTGATGTATAGCATAGTTACATGAAGACAATAGGAAGAAAAAGTGAACAGTAATTTAGGCAGTGAAAGAACACCAATAACTATTATGCCTTCATTAACCTTCTTGATCAAAGCCTCCAATTTAATTTATTGCATTTGACAAAAAGAACTTGAAAACTTAAGCATTCCAGTATACACTGAATTTTAAGCTCATACCATTTTGCAATGCTACATTCTTCTTTGTTTCTGCTTTAAATCACAATGGAATCATCAATTTGACAGATTGCCAGACACAATGAAAATCTAAGATCACCTCCATTCCATCTAAATAATACATTTTAGGGAAAATTACATCGGTAGTCCCTACATTTTGTTCTTTATATCATCTTGGTCCTTAAACTTTTAATTGGCTTGATTTTAACCATTAATTTTAGATTTTGTGTCAATTTGATCCAATTGATTATAGCTGTTAACATGTGTCATGTTTTTAGAAGCAAAATTGTAAACTTGCTCAACTTGGTAAGTTAATCTCAATCAACTTAATGATTTCCATCAAAAACCCTAACTGGCATTATCAATTGAACCAAATTGACATAAAATCTAAAATTAAAGGTTAAAATCAAGCCAATTGAAAGTGTAGCGACCAAAATGACACAATGAGCAAAATACATAGACAACCTAAGAAGCACAGACACAGATACGAATACAAACACAGACACGGACACGGATGCGGACACAGGACACGGCGATTTCAAAAAAATAGAGACCCGGACATAGCAGGGGCACGAAAATAAAATATGATTTCATATATTTTGATTTACTATCTAGATTAATATTACATCCACAAACAATCAATATTAACAAAAACTAACTCTAATTCTTTTTTTCTTTTCTTTTTTTAATTTAAATTAGCACTTATAGTTTATATATATTTTTTATGAATGATCTATTGAGTATTTAAATCTAACAAAAAAATAATAAGCATTCAACATTCATCAAAAGTACTAAGTAAAATGAAGGAAAATACAACTTGGCATGTCCCTAGTTTGTCCCTCAAGTGTCTCCGACATGTCCTCTTAAAACAAATTAATTAAATAAGAGAACACGCCATGTGGTGTATCCCATACGTATCCACGGATACGGAATACCCTACATTTTAGATCTTTTTCTTCCAGAATACATTATTATTCATTTTAATGATGTGTAAAGCACAATAGAACCATCAATTCAAAATATTGCCAAACACCCTATGAATGAAAATCCAAGGTCACTTCCGTTCCATCTTACACTCCGTCTGGATTGAGTGATTTGGAGAGAAAAGAAAAGAAATGTATTTGTTTTGGTGCTAATCACTTATTTGGAGAGGAATCACAATTTTTTCTTTTCTTTTCTTTTCTTTTCTATCCTAACTTAACAAATCATTTCTTTTCTTTTCTCTCCAAAGTATCCAAACATAGTGTTAATGCTTAAACATTTTTCATATTCTTCAATCTATAAGGCCCCTAAAACCCTACTTCTCAATTACATACTGGTACCATAACAACTGGTTGATAAATCAAATAACAAAATCACATCCACATATCAGAATCATAATAAACTTCAGTGATTTTTGAGAACATTACATTTCAAAAAACTCAAATCACTTGAGAGAGAGAGAGAGTACCTGGGCCATGTCGACAATGACTTTACGGAATTTGGGGTGCTTGCCAGCCTCTTTCTTGAGGCGACTGGCAATGGGTTTGCTGAGAGTCTTCAATACGAGTGTACCGAGCTTCAATAGAGGGAGGACCATCACTCTCAAACGTGGTTTCTGATCTGGGTTCTTTGATTCTTGAACTGTACATCTACAAGGTGTTCGACCTTTGGCTTCTGAGAACTGATCCCTATATATTAATATAGTAGCAGATGATGGTGATGATGATAATGATCGTCGTTAGACTGATTCAGAGGCTGCGTTTCTTGAAGAAGAAGAAGAAGGAGTAGGAAAAATGCGTGCAATTGAGAGAATTAGCGAAGGTCGGAGGAAAGAGAGAAAGCATCGGAATGAATAATTAAAAGTTGTTTTTGAAAAGATGGTAAGAAGTTATTTTTTTTTATTTTTTATTTTGGGTAAATTGTAATGATATTTTTTGGGGTTTATATTTAAGTCAAGTTTGACATATCTCAAATAATTTATTTTTTTATCTTTTTATTTATTTTTCATCATATCACCTCTCTACTTTTTTGCACATCTTTTCGTAAAAAGACAAAAAATACACTTATTTAGGTCATCCCAAACAATCCCTTATTACAATTTTTCCTTTCACCTTTTGAAAAATATATTTTCTGCTGAGATTTAAAGTTTCATTATAGATTCTCTTCAGCCCTTTTAATTTTTTAAATACTAATTTTACTTACATTTGGTAAATTACATTGACACCCCTCACATTTTTTAAATTACAATCTCCCTAAGATTTAAAGTAGTATTACGAATTGCTCCCTTGGTCAGTATTAGTTGGGAAAAAAATTCATTGAAAAAAAAATTTAATTGGAAAAAAATTAATTAAAAACAAAAATTTGTTAGTAAAATTTTTAAATTTTTATTTAAAAACCAATGTAAACTCATTTTTTGAATTTAAGTTTTTTTCGCAAATTTACAAACTGAGATAACTATTTATAAACCAAAAAAATTATCAAACAAGTTTTTATGACAGTTTTTAAAATTTTTATCAATATAAATTGAAACTGAAAACGAAATGGTTAACAAATAGGTCTCAAATGGTAAAAATGTTGTAAAATTAACAAATAATTAAATAAGTTACCAACGTAAGAAATGACTTATCAAAAGATTCTTAGGCTATGTATGGTTTGATTTTTAGAAAAAAAATTTTAAAACTAAAAATTAATTTAGTTAAGAAATAAAAAATAAAAAAATAATTTTCATTTCGTGTAAAAAAATAATTTTCAATATCTAACAAAACTAGATTTTCGTTCAATTTAGCACTGGATTTTCGTTCCTTTGTCTTTTCCTATTATTTGGATGTTTTCCAAATGGTTTGTATGTCCCAATCTCAATTTGCTCTAATATTTGCTCCCCTGATAACTCCAAAGGTCTGCACCTAAACTCATTTCGTCCGGAAAACAACTTGCTCCTACGCCATTGTGATTCTCGGGTAAGTAACGACGAGTACCTATGTACGCTATCTTACTTATTAACCTTTGTGATGATGCGTCCTCATTGCAAATGGGGCAAGACAAATAACCTTTGGTAGTCCACCCTCACACGTTACCATATGTAGGGAAGTCGTTGATGGTCCATATCACCGCAACATGCATTCTAAAAGATTGTTTGTGTATGGCATCATAAATTTACACCCCATTTCCTTATAAATCCTTTAACTCATCAATTAATGGCCGTAAGTAAACATCGATATCTCTTCTAGGTGCCGATCGTCCAGGGATACGCAATGACATCATGGAAAAAGGCTCTTTTATACACTTCTACGGTAGGAGATTGTAAGGCATTAGGATAACGGGCCATATACTGCATGATGTGCTCATATTTCTAAATAGATTGAAACCATCAGGGGTAAGACCTAGCCTTACATTTTGTGGATCCATGGCAAACATAAGATGTTGGCAATCAAAGTCTTTACATGCCTCGTCATCAGCTGGATGCCTCAATATTCCATCATCCACATGTTTCTCCTTGTGCCATCTTATATCTGTAGCGGTTTTCTTGAACATATACAATCTCGCTGTCAACGAAAAATACCTCAATATCTTTTGAGGGATCTTCTTACCCTTTCCGTCGTCCAACTTGTATCTAGGCTCTTTACACTTGGGGCAATTATCAAGATTTGCATTCTCCTTCCAAAACAGTGCACAGTCATACCTACACGCTTGAATGGGAATGTAGCCCAAACCCAAGTCACTCAAGAATTTTTTGGCAGCATATATGGTCCATGGAACAGTCTCATCACACTCGGGTAGAGTGGCTTTGAAAACTTTCATAACCATATCAAACGAGTTGTTGCTCCACTTGTTGTAGACCTTAATATGAAGCATCTTAATAACAAATGGCAACACAGTGAACCTTGTGCAGTCTGGGTACAATTTATGTTGACCATCTTCAAATAACTTATCAAAGTTTCGCCCATCCACACTCTCAAAACTAGCAGGTAATTCGTTCCCTTCATCATCCATTGCAAAACCCTTGAAAACCTCTTCCAACATAGTAGGCAATTCATCCTCATCATCTTGATCTTCCCCTACAATTTGACTACATATGTCATGGTGACCTCCATTCAGTATGAGAGGTTTAGCCACGGGTACTAGTTGCCCATGGTGCACCCAACTCTTGTAAGAAAGAGACATCCATCTTCGAATCAAATGAATCCTGACAATGTGGTTCACATGTATTTTGTCATTCAAGCAATTGATACATGGACATCGAATCTTATCCTCCAGGCCTACATTTCTCATCACAAATTCAATAAATGAATTAACCACTTCTTGATACTCCTTACTGCTTAATCTATTTTTTATTGTCATCCAACTCTTGTTAATTGGGGCCATCTGAAAGGTTAAACACAACCATAACATTAATTCATCAACAAAATATTAGAGAAAGTGTTACAAACTACAAAATATAAGGCTAAGATTATAATGTTAATGTTTGTAGGTGACAACCACTTGTGTTTTGGTGGTTTTGTAGATTGGTTTTATGGCCCTACAAAAAGGGCAAGAAAAGGGTTTCATTTTCATATCCCTTATCTTTGTAGCTATTCAGTTTCTAATGAAAGTTCCACACATACAGTTCGACCTACCTTTGGCTTGAGACTCATAACTTCTTCATGCATATATGAAGAGACCCACCTTGGTTTATAAGGATAAAAATAAAAATTAAAAATGAGTTATCAAACAAGTCCGATGTAAAAGCCTCTAATCCTGGAAGCATATCTTATGGCTTGAGACTTGCAAGCAATGGTACACTTTAGGCAACTTTACAACTATAATTGTGTTAGTTCATCAACATCAACTTTGCATCTTTCTCTCTCTTTTCTCTCTCTCTCTCACTCATACACAAATTTTAAATGAGATTTCTTCTCCCATCTCTAAGTCATTCCATCCAACTACCTCTTACAAAACATTGGTGCAACTTTTTCCCTCTCCAACTAACTACCTTTCCTCCCTCCTATACACATTTCTTCACATATACACTTCATAAATAAAATGTGCCAATCTTAATTAATGGAACCATAAACCCCATGGATAGTCTCATACATGCACCTACTTATTTATATATGGGAATAGATGGCCCTCTAATTTTCTTAATTTTTTCCTGCCTTTTAGATTATTTCAAATTAACAGACAAGATAGTTGACCTAATAGCTCTTATAATTATCCCTTGGGATAATAAGAAGATCAAGGGTTTATGATTTGAGGTGAAGGAGCAATTTTGACCCTTTCATTGTAATCTAATTAACTAACCTACTAATATTCTATTGTTTGCCTAAAAAAAGAGATTATTTTAAATAAAATAATAAGAGCATCTTCATCAAGATAGGCACATTTAGAGCATTTTACAAATTTTGGTTAGCTTTATCACAAAATGAAGCTCCAATAAGATAGACAACACGGTAGGCATTTAGATTAATTATACTTAAAAGAGTTAAACTTTTATCGAAATTTCATTTTAGTTACATTATTTTTAATTGTGACAGTTGATTTAATTATACTTTAAGTCAAGTTACCATTTTCATTTTTCATTAATGAAACTAATAAAAATTGACAAATAAATTTGACATTAACTGCATAAACAACATGGAAAGTGTGAATTACCAAATAATATGTTTTCTTCCTCACTCTTAGAGGCTTTTTTTCTTCTCTTCTCAACTCATGACACCTATTTATACATACACTGTGATTATTTTAGACTCGCTTAATAGTAAATTTCAAAAATCTAATTGACTCATCTAGGCACTCATCAACACTTCATAACATATCTTCCATATGCTTCTAAACTTGTTAATATTTTGAAAACTTGAAATTACGTTTTTCTAGCACCAGTGTCCCCTGATAGCTTTTCAATGATAGAAACTAGAAGCAATATTATGATGAGGACAGTATATCATATTCTAATGGTCATCATTTACTCAAACCATTAGAATATAGCATTAGAACATGACTGTCACGACCCAACCCCCGCCCCACGGGATTAGAGACGTAACCGGCCAGTAATTTGAGACTGACAAAGGCCTGCTTAATAGTAAAAAGTAATAGGGGCTGGTGGAAGCCAATGATGTAACATTACATCGTCTAATGAGCTGTGAAACTAAAATGAATATACAAATGTTAACAAGCATCACTGTACAAGCACCCGTTATGATATCATACATGTGTGCCAAAATCATATACAACACATATACAACACTTAGGGAATTAATCCCTTAATGAAAACTTTATAAAACAAAAGATCACTTGATTACTTTACAAAAAGGTGAACTCATAATCACCCAAAAGCCTTGGAGTTAGTTCAAACGAAACCTCGAAGTGAGGTACAATGGTTAGATTTACAAAATAGAAGGTAGGTTGACGCCCTTAGGTCCTTTCTTGAGTTTGATCACCTACATAACAAATATAAACTGTGAGCTGAAACCCAGTGAATAACAAATGTGTAAAGAGGTTAGGAATAATGCCCGTTTAAACATCAAGGTCAATTCACATAGCAATATCATGTTCGTTATATAAAAGCATAGCAACCATAAGGATGCACGTGCACATGTAACGGTCTTTAAAATCATAGTCGATAAGATCATATAACTCAATATCTTGTACACACTTGGCCATGGTATTATTACCCCTAGGCGAAGGCCACATGAATATAAGCCACAGTATTGTTTCCTCCGGGCGAGGGCTACATGACTATAGACCACAATATTGTTACCCCTGGGTGAGGGCCATGTAAACATAGACCACGATATTGTTACCCCCGGGTAAGGGCCACGTGAACATAGCCACGGTATTGTTACCCCTGGGTAAGGGCCATGTGAATATAACCATGGTATTGTTACCCCCAGGTAAGGGCCACGTGAACATATTGCATGAGGTGGAATACTTATTTACTCAATAAATCATATCGCTTTAGACACAGTCCTTAACAAGAACAGTAAAAAAGAAATATGGCTCAAACAAATCTTTATAACATTGTTACTTACAATTGGCTCCTTATAACATGTGGATAGGATGCAGTGTCTGACTTACATAAACACATACAAGCACAATGGTTCAACATATAGTCTCAATGGTTCGGTTTACTTATTACTTCATCCCTAAATCTCTCCTTTTCATTCCTTAATTCCCATCATGTTTGTAAGATGTGAATGCACATGAAAACCACGTGAAAACCATGTAAACGGAGGCCCAAAAGTCAGAAACATAGATAGAAAAATAGACAAAACCTGCCCTATTGGCTGTACGTGCAGTGGCCTTGGCCGCACGAGTGGTGGTTAAGCAGAATGCAATTTTGGCCAATGGAGGCCCGGCCGCTCGTGCGATGGCCCAGGCCACTCGAGCGGTTTAGGGGAAAAATAGTTCAAAAATTCTGCTGAAAATGGAACTTTTCCCTTTTTCCAAAACCAACTTCAATTTCATGCAAACAAGGCCCAAAACTCAAAAAAACACCCTCAATTCTATAACTCTAACATCAAACAAAAACATAACTTTAAAACAAAACCCATTTGGCCATTCACAAGATCCAAAAGCTTGAAGTTAAGAAGAAAAACAAAACTAGGCATGTGGTGAGTTCCCAAATCAAAGTCCATAAAGATTTCTCCCCAAATCTCATAACTCATGCTAGAAACAAATGAATAAACAAGAATAATGCCATGGATGCTAACACCTTGAGTTATTTCCAAGAATTTTCCTCTTTAGGGTTCTAAATAACAACTTACACCACCTTGCTTCATAATTTCATGATGAGAACAACTTTAATTCATGAGATTGAGGGAAATTTCTTACCTTAAGTTGATGATTTGATGAAGATTGGTCAATTCCCCATTCTTCTCCTTGAACCCTAGGTTTCTCTCTTTCTCTTTTGTCTCTAGAATTAGAATTATCTCAAGTCTCTACAAAAATATCTATCTCTATCTATCTCGTATTTGATGAGTAAAGTTAGGTCTTGTTTGGGTCTTCCTAATTCTAAGTTTAATTTCTTACCAACTCAATTCTCATCACAAGCCACTTCAATTAACACTAAATTGAAGCATACTATTGTGAATTAGGCTCTAATTGCCTATTTCAAATATTTAATTTTAATATGATGGTTTACTGTTTCAGATAAGTTTATTTCTCATTTTTATTTATCTGTTCCCATTACTCCAATACAATGAACACATGACACATAAAACACGTGGCACATAATTTTGCATATAAACACATAATTAAGGCAAATCACGTAATTTAACAATTAATTAAGGAGGTAGGTGCTACAAAAATGTATTAAAAAGCCCACAGTTCAAATTTTTTTGTTTATTTGGGGAATACAAAAATATATCTGTGACAACCCTCACTCCTGTTTACTGATAACACCACTGATTAGTGCTAATCTATGATTAAGCATGTTAACTGATTGATTAACTGAAAATCTGAACTGATTGATTGAGTGTGTTAGTTAAATGCATTTCTATCTGTTTGACTGCTAAATGATCTGTTCGTGTTTTAAGTTTCAAACTGCAAATTGAAGGCCTTATCGGCGGTCGAATCTGAAATTGATTAGTGTTTTATGCTAATTGGAATTTATGTAATTTTATGATATATTTAGTTGAAATGTGATTATGTTTAAATTGGATTAAATAATGCTAATTTACAAGAGTTGGACTTATTTACAAGAATGCCACTTAGTAGACTTTCATGAGCCTTTATTTGATCTATATATGCTAACATTTCAACATTTTATCAGCCCATTTCTTAAGCTAGCCAACTAGAGAGAGAGAGATAGGAGAAATTGAGTTCATCTAGGCATTTAGCTTGGAGACTTGAAGAATTTGGAAGAGAATTGTATATTTGAGCTTGTTACCTTGAATTCAAGACATAAGGTAGAAATTTCATCATCTCATTTGTGAATTGAAGTTGTGTCTTGCATGATTCATGGGAGTTTAGTGATCTAACTCAAGTTTTGGTCTAAAAATGTTGAATTGAAGCTTGAATCATGCATGCATGTGCATCTCTTGAAGTATAGAGTTGTTTTCATGGAAATTATTGCATGCATGTCCATATCTTGAGAATAGTTCATGAATTCATCATGTTCTTGAGGAAATTGACTCTTTTGAACAAGTATTTAAAGCTTTAAAGTTGTTTAAATTCTTGCATGTTGCATAAACTTCATGTTCTTGAAGTTTTGTTTGAAAATTGTGTTTAATTGAACTACCTTTGGGCTTTTATTTCTCAAATTGATCTTTGAAACATGTCATACTATGAATTTACAAGTGTTTTCTAGAAAATTGGCCCAAAAGGATCGAATTTGATGATTTAAAATTGAGTTTTGAGCTTGAGGTTTAAATCTGGAATTTCCAGAT